CGAAACCCTAAGCCCTGAGCCCTGAACCCTGAACCCTGAACCCTGAATCCTGAACCCTGAACCCTAAACCCTAAACCCTAAGCCCTAAGCCCTAAGCCCTGAACCCTAAACCCTGAACCCTAAACCCTAAACCCTAAACCCTGAACCCTGAACCCTAAGCCCTAAGCCCTAAACCCTAAGCCCTAAACCCTAAACCCTAAACCCCGCATCCGCTCAAATGTCGTCCTGCTCAGGGTGGCCTGGGCGTCACCTCTGAGGCCCTGCGGGCCGGCGTGCCGGTGATTACGAGTGGCATTCTGTTCCTTGGTGATTGGTGGTTTAGGGTTTAGGGTTTAGGGTTCAGGGTTTAGGGTTTAGGGTTTAGGGTTTAGGGTTCAGGGTGTACTCTAATTTTAGGACAAGGCTGCAATACAATACCGTATTATGACCAATACGAGTATGCTACTATACTATGCTGGATGATGCTATATTGTATAACAATATCAAACTTCTATCATGCGACATAACTTGACATAACTGTATTACTCGAATGCGAGGCAACCATCATACTACAATGCTGTGATTTTAAATGCTTTAAGGGAATGGCTTAATGCAACAATGCTCTATTCTGCAATACTCTGAAACTGTTATGCTATCATTCTATAACATGTTAATCCCAGAGTACAAGAAAGATGAAACACCGTGGTGCTATCGAGTCTTATGAACTGCTATACAGCATTAGAATTCCTCTAGAAAGTGTTGTTGCAGGAAGTATTAGAGAATACTTGAGAATGGTATAGAGAAGAGACACTGGAGATACAAAAATACTTGAGAATCCGATGCTGCTCTGAAAACATGCGTCGGAGAACGCTCTCAAGAACACGAGACCATGTGCGACTCGAGGCTTCTGGACCAGCGCTGGTGGGCTGCACGGGTGAAAGACCTCGGCTGTGGCTCCAAACCGGTGAAGGCGGATGACGCACGATTAGGGTTTCGGGCTTTAGGGTTTAGGGTTTGTGGCGTCTTCTCAGATGCTCCTAAGAAGATCGCCATAGAGCTGATTGGTAGGTTGATCGCCTCCTCAAGTGGGACTACAACGTGGGCGCACCACGTGTTGTTGGCATGCTGCACAAAGCACTACGGGACGTGAGCGACGCTCGGCTTCAATTGCCTTCAGCCCCCAGTTGCAGATCAATTGCATGATGTCCTGTGAAGCTCATGGGCATTGTGTTTTCCACTTTTTCTGTCCTCTTGAACCCATGCTGAGGACGATGGTCAACAAACCTGGACGCAGCGAGCGAAACAGGCCGTCTCAGAAGAGCTTGCGACACCTTCGTCGCATGTGCCACAAGTGCTGAACTTCTGAATGTGCTCTTACAGGTAAGATTAAAGTTAAATTCCACATGAAGGTTTCCATGATGTTGCATCGGGCAGCAGGCTGGGACTGTCGATCAGCTAGCTGTGTCTGTAGCCTCCACAAGTGGCCTCATGTCCTCCACGATTGGCGATTTCTCTTGCCAGGCCCTGATCCCGACGGCATTCTGCGGAACTCGCAGGCCAGGGCCAGGCTCTTAAGTCTTAAAGAATTGGGATCAGGCAGTTGCACAACACGGCCAGAAAGTCGATGTTACGGCATCTGCCATATGTCTTTTCGTGGTGAAGTTCTATGACTTTGTGCTGCTGGGCATTGCGCGGCCGATGTCACGATGTCCCAATGGTCTCCATCCATTTTGTTCCCCTCACGCAGAACCCACCTCTGAGAGCAGCACCAGCGCAGCACCCATCTCGTGTGGGATCTCGTGCGCAGGCTGTGTTCCAAGCCGGTACACAAGATGCTGTGACGCTTGAGGAGTGCTATGCCGAGGGCAGGCGGGCCAGCTGCGCACAGAACGGCCCGAAGGTTCTCCGAAGGTAGGTAGGGCGCGGACCGAGGTGAGCATGACCCCGCATGGTGCCTGCTAAATTGCTCTGACGGACAGTTTTGAAATTCGTCAACCGGGTGTGGCCAGGGATTGCTGCTCTTGCTTGAGTCGCCAAGCCCGGTGCTGCTGCCGCTGCATTGAGCAATGTCTCCGAATCTCGGTCGCAAGGGACCTGTGTGGCGTTCTCGGTGTGGAGATTGTGGAGGTCAAAGTTAATGTGGCGGTCTCTCGAACTGGGGGCCATCTGTATCCGCACCATGCGCGCTTTGGCTGCGTCCCAGGTTGCATCTTCTTCATGAACGTTCCAACGATGTTGTACGTCTGCGTCTTGTCTGTGCCTCATGGAGCTGGCATGAGCTCACGTCTCCAAGGCCAGGTCTGTTTGGTTTTTGTGCCCTCTGTCCACCCGGCTCTTTGGCCCAGGTTCGTTGCACAGTTCGTCTGCTGCCTACCTTGTCGGCGGGTTTGCTGTCAGGGGAGGCCTTCTGACACCTTGTGAGTGACAGCTGCAGGCTTGCTGGCAGCAACTTCTGTGAACGTGCCTGCAAGATTCCGCGCATGTCTGGAAGGAGATCAAAGTGCTTGGCTGCCAAGGAAGAGCCAGAGGCTTCGCACATGTCACGTTGGCTGCTTGCTGCGTGGGTGTGCGTACTGTTCATAGGTATGGCTGAAATCGGCGGAGTGAGTGGCAGCTTGCAGGAGGAAGACTCCAATGTGACGGATTCATGCGAGGAGACTGAGAGCGAAGACAGCCACTTGGCAGACTGCCAGAGCTATCATGAGCGAAAACAAAGCTACACAAAGCTAAGACATATCACTTCAGGACGATAAGCAACCTAAGACAGGAGAGTGGTGCAACAGAGCGCTTGATCAGGCTCTTCTGTTCCATGATGTTCCGCGTGTCTCCAGCCCCGCTCTCAAGTCAGAGCCAGGTCTCGTTCCTTGAGATGCCGCTGAATCATTTATCCTATTTATCCTGCGTTAGGCGCCAGCCCAAAGTCGGCCTGGCGCCACCCATGTGGGGGGTTCTAAGATTCTAAGTAAGGGTCGCAAAAGCTGGGCTTGGGGTGTTTTTGCAAGGGGTCTTCATGCACAAAGTTTCGAACGAACCCTGCATCTTGAACTACTCTTAGTTCAGCCAACAGCAATGGACACCCGAACACTATGAAGGAGACATTGGGGGGCTGAATTAGAGCATATTCCCGGGTAGAAACCAATGGCCAAGGCCATGTTAATTCTAGGGGTTTTCCGAGATGGGCGCAATCGTCCTGCTGTTGGCCGAGAAAGCTTTCGAGTGCATAGAGAGGGCACGCGTGGGCGTGCACTTTATGGCTCCCGCAAAGCGAGCAGTACCATAGGAGATCTGCAACATGCATTCTCCGACCCGTAGTTTTAGGTTTCTTTGTGCTAGTTGCTGGGGCTTGATGGGAAGATGTAAACACGGCAATAATCAAGCTCCAGTGGCTCAAAGCAACAAAGACAAGTTTTCTGCTATGCAATGCTGTGCTGGCAAAAGACGGGTGCAAGATTTCGGAATCTGTAAGGAGACCGGACCCAGTTGAAGACGGTGACTCTCCGCGGGCCGTGTGTATTTCGATTGCTTGCAAGGATGTCAATCTCCAAGGGCCTTGCCGAGTCCGCAGTGGTGGCCAAGGCACCAAAAGTTCTATCGAAGCACAGCAACCGGGCTTCTGGATGCAGAGTGGATGCGGTGGCAGCGATAAGTGCAGAGGTCATCTACAAAGAGCCCGTCGAGTCACTAAAGCAGTGCGTTGTTGCAGACGTCGAGGAGGACAGGAACCCCGAATAGCTGAACTTCCCCCCAAAGCACCAGCATCAGGAAGATGTCAAATCTAGCCTCATTTTATTGAAGAGCGTCAGCGTGCCCGGCCTGTTCTGTAGTGCTCCGTTGCTGCAGTCTCAATTGCAGCACCGGCTCCAGCGAGAGGTGACATGTTATCAGTTGCAGGATGAGCCTGAGGAGGCTGCAAATGCGGAGCAGAGCGTTCTTTGGGACATGACGAGGCTGGTGAGCACTGGGCAGAACCAGATGCAATTCCACCGACAGGCGATAGTGACATGAAGTGACATGGTGTGGTCTGTGGTCACCATGTTACTTTTTTGGCTCAGGCCCTAGGCAAACGGCATGTCTCACGGCCCACAAGGGGCCAGAGGAGCAGATGCCGACCCGGCTTTCAAATCGCAGCAGGATGTCGAGTTTACCTTCCAGACTGTCCCGCTGCATCTTTGCCACTCAGAGGAGAGAAGCTTTTTGTAGCTTTGCAGTTCTGCAGTGTAGTTGGCCCCATGCTGGTCAAGTCGGTTCCCCCAAGAAGCCCAAGAAGCAACTGCACCAATGTAAGTTCGCAGAGAGCTAGCATGACGCTTGTGGGTCAAAGCTGCTAGCGACCTGAGCCCAGACACCACTAAGGTCTGAGCTACTGCCGCCCAATCTGGAGGTGCAGCTGCAGGGCAGGGTCAGCAGGGGATGCGGCTTCCTTAGACGTCCCAACGTTCGTGAGTCGTCGTAGGCAAGTAGCCTTTGAGTTCGAATGCCGCAGCTCTGAAGTGAAGAGGAAGGGAGATCGAAAGAGGAAATGTTGATTGCCCAACATGGGAGAAAGCAGGGCAGAGGCACCCACAAATCATTTGCAGTCTCCCAGACGTTTAACGCTGAAACGCAGCATCCTCCCTCCCTCTCTCTTGCAGGGCCCAAACCTACCGCGACCCCCTAGAGAGTGTTGCGGTTTTGTGCCTCCCAATGCCTCCCGTGCCCCCCCCCATGCCTTTGAAGAAAACCGTATGACTCTCACCTTTCAGGGGAAGATAGGTGAAGCGTTGGAGAAGCTGACTCTAGAGCAAGGAATAAGTTAAATGACAGGGGTCGGGAAGCCTGAAAAGTATTTCGACCCCCTTGTGCATTTCTCGAGCATTGCTTGACTTGAGAAATAGACCAAAAATGGCAGGCGGGGAGTGGGGGGGAGGACCTCCATGCCCTGATAGTCTGGCTCTCTTTGAGTCTTTGACGCCACCCAAGAAGCTAGGGCCTGGTCTAGATGCGGGCGAAGCGCGCAACCCTAAATCGCAACCCGCAAATCCCTGAACCCCCTACTTTGGAAGATCCCTAGTCTCATCCAATACGCCGTTTGTTTGGGACCTTGGGCAGTGGAAGTCGGTTCAGGGACCCCACTCCAACACTGACAAGCTAAGCCCATCAAAAAACCGAATTCCGCAAAAAGCTCCGCGAAGTTCCTCAAAAGCCTCAAAAGTGAGAGCCTGCGAGGCGCCCCTTTGGCGAAAGAGTCGACATCGCAGGTTGCACAAGGGAGCACCTCGACGGACAGAATGGGTAACAGCCCAGGTGCCCATTTGGGGTTCCGGGTTTCGGGTCTTAAGGGGGCTCAACGCTGTGCTTCGGTCTCGCGTCTCTCTCTCTCTCTCTCTCTCTCTCTCTCTCTCTCTCTCTCTCTCTCTCTCTCAAGAAAGGGGGTGCAAGCATGACAGCGGCTGCCAGGACGTCCGGATGTGATATCTTCATCAGTTATGATGACCAAAGCTCGGAGTCAGTTTTCCGAAAGTGCCTTGGACGATATTCAGAGGAAAGACCGCTCGCTTTTTTGGCATGTTGGCATACCTGGCGGAACCGAGCCAGGCAAGTGTGCTGCCAAATTCTTCTCAATGCTCATGCTGCCGCTGTTGCAACTGCCTTCGTAAGCGTCACGACAGGCACGAGTAGACTCTCGTATTGGAGAATGATTATGAACGCTTGTGTTCACGTCCTCCTGCGGCAGCTCGATGCACATTTTGGACGTGCCGCTCAGTGCTAGGCATTTTGCAGATGTGCGGGAGCATCCCAGACAATATCTGGAAGCTTGGCACAGTATCTCAGATGGCTTTTTGTGGAGAACCTCTTGTTGTGCTGGGAGCTACCAGAGGATTTCATGAGTATGCCTGTCAGGACAGCTGTCGTTCCTCACCTCGTCCCTTTCACGGTCCTCGTGTTCTGGCAGAGGATCCGTGCCATGATGGGCCAGACTCAGTTCGTCTTTCTGAGAGAAGTGTGCATCCCTCACCAGCCAGAGCCGAGGCGGGCAACTCTGCAGAAGCTTAGGGGAGTCTTGATGCGCTCACGGAAACTCATCATGATCTGCTCAGAGAGATATTTCACGCGCCTAATGTGCATGTATGAAGTGGCAAGCTTTCTGCAGCACAGTGCAGAGCACAACGTGGCTGCAATGCCTGAAGCGATGGGTTGGTGTCTTCTTGTGTTCTACTTGAACTACCACGTCCTGGCCATTGGTCTCTGCGCCTTGTCAAGCGTGGAGAACGCCGTCAGCCTTCAAGCGCTCAGACAAGCTTGTGCAACGGGCGGCGTCTGTTTTGGTGTGGCACTTGCACAACTTGTGTATCTATTCTCCTTGGCCATGCGGCTACAAGCTTCTGCACAGCGTGTTCCAGCTCAAATCCGTCAGTTCCGCATTGAGAACACCAGCTGCCTGTGCTGTGACTTGCAGCACACACACCCAGCAACCGGTTCGCCACTGATGTGCGACTGGAAACAAATCTCTGGCATGCTCAAAGCATCGCATGGCGCCCACGATGACGTCGGGAGCCGGCAGAGTCGGCACATGCGACGTTTCAATGCGATGGTCCGGCAGCAAGCAGCAGCTTTGGTGCGATGCCGGCCCAGCACTTGTGCAAATCGTTTTGGCCCTTTCGGGATCGATTGCGTCATTAGCTATCTGTTGTCGGTTGTACAGTTGTAGGAGTGACTTGTTTATGCTTGTTTCTCTTGGCGGGGTGCGCTCAGGATTGAGATCTTGCAACGTGTCGACCCCTATGGTCGAGCTGCTCAGCACGTGCGTCGTGCCATCTCTGCCCCGATACATGCTGCTCTGGTCTTCGGGCCCCACAGAGTTGACACTCTGGGAATCCTCCGCAGCACAGCAGACACCAAGCCAGCTTGAGCTGAGGGGGAGATGGGGTGAGACATAAGAAGAGAGTTTAGGGTTTGCCCTTGGCTAGAAGCCGCCGTCAGGTATGGAGCGTATTGCTGGTGCTTCGCTGGGCCAGCCTGTTTCTGATGCTGTTCTTCTCGCTGCTCATGCTCTTCGCATCTGGGCACATCTTAGAATACCTTTCTGTCTCTGCATATCTTGGAGGTGCCTGGCTCCTTTTGTGGGCACATTGGCTTCGAGGTGTTGACATCATGGGGCTCATGCTTCATGATCGGTCTCCAGACGTTTCATGCGAAGGAAGGAAATCTCCAAATTCTCAATTCCTCGAAACTACTTGAAAAGAATTCACACAACTCTGAAGTTTCAGTGAACTCCCGAAACCATATGGATATCAGTGGCTTCGCAAGTCCGAGGTTTTGATTGCAAAGATGAGAAGGGCCTTACCTTCCTTTACAGCAATATTGAAAAAGCGGGAAGATCCGGGCTCTCCAAAAGAAAGCAACGCCTCAAGGGCAGCTTTGAAGGTACAGCAATTTCCGAGGGGCCACGGCAAGAATTGAATTCAATTGACATTTCGCTCGTAAGACATGCAAATGAATAAACCTTTTCGTTGAGGTCAAAAAGCCATTTCGGAGGAGTAGCATTCGAACACATGATCTCTTTTTGTTTCTCTCTCCCTCTCTCTCTTTCTCTCTCCTTCTCTCGCCATATATAGTTCGTGTGACATCTTGTTGGACTCTCCTGCCCCCATGTTCGCTCCGGCTTCTTGCCAAGGCGCTTGCCAAGGTCGGGCAGTCTGTGAGCCACCGAATGCCCACAGCAACTTGCAAGCAATGCACGTGCCTACGAGACTCCATCTAGAGGGGCGACACGAGTTACTTGGAACTGCGAACCTGCAAGGTCTTGTTGTACAGTGCCTTGTGCTTGTCGTACCTTGCCGCCCTGGCACTGGCTTGGATTCCTCTGCGTCTTTGCTCCTCGGATTAGCCAAATGCCAAGCGAACATCCCGGCACAGAGAGCATGCAGAGCCAGAGCGCACCTCTGAGGCTTTGTGGACGAAGCTTCTGGCACATTGTCGCCTCGCTGTGCAAAGAGTATCATGCAAAGATGGGCATTCGTGGGGCATGTGGGCAAGGGGTCCAAAACACTCTGGACTGGTTCTGCTTCGCTCAGGCTGCCGGTATGCTTGTTCAATGTTTTGCTGATTGTCGACATCTGTCTTTCGTCGTCGCATCTTGGGACTGCAATAGAATCTTCTGGAGGCCTTTTGGAAACCATGGGAACTGGTTGAGGGCATCGGAAACCATGGGAGATGCGCAATGGGCTTCTGAATCTACTAGTAGAGCCCGCAGTGCAAGAGTGTGAGAAATGGTGGCTTCTTCATCTCCGTGGAATCCGCGGAACACATTGGACTTCCTTTCAAACAAAAGGGTCAATCTCGTACTAAAGTCCGCAGTGTCATGGTGGATAGAAGAGTTCCTTTCCAATTCTTCGCATTGCACTGGAGAGAAGCCAAAAAAACAACAACCCGACACAATCCACAGCTACTGATTGAGTTCTGCATCCATTCCCCAACTCCTCGAGCGATGTTGCAAGCTCCGTTGTGAGTAGAAATGTGTGGTGGCAGCAGCCACAAGCTCTGGCTTCCCCAGCCGAGGTGCTATGTGGATGATGCTGATGAGGATGAGGATACCTTGGATTCGGACGACTCGAACTTTGAGGTTTGAGACTCGCTTTCGATACACATGCCCCTTGAGCAGCATTCTTTGCATGTCCGAAAGCATGCAAGGGCATTAGAGGCAGTCTCATAGCCCGTGCTTCGCGACCCCTTCCCCCCGCCCTCCCCCAAGATGATCTTTGCGCTGGGCCGTTCCCGGATGATCCCTCGCCCCACCCTCCCAAATGGTCCCTGGAGTGCTCACCGCCTGATCCTCACAGCGGGCCCCTCGATGATCATCTTGGACCAGACCATGTAGGCCATTTGCTTTCTTAGACTGGACGGAGACCTGAGGGTCATGGAGTCATGGATGTTGCAGCTCGCTTGGGCAACAAGGAAGCGCCGACTAGAGATGCGAACCCTGGCTTGCCAAGCCGTCCTATGTCGAAAGGCGCAGCAAGTGCGAGGCAGGCAGAAAGCGCCGGAAGATCAAAAACCCCAGCTCCAGCCGATCATATGCTTGATGAAGCAGAAACACAGAAAGTTGCCCAGCCTAGCCACACCGGTTTAAACTCGCATGGATATGACCTCCTGCTACGTCCACAATCGCGGACGCAGGCATGAGTGGTTGCCAATGAAGCGGAAACAGTGCAAGCTTCAGCCTAGACTCGCAAAAGAACTCCTGAAATCTCCGCAAGGCATAAAATGATCCCAAACACATGGGTCGCTTTTACTTTTTCCGACAAATTGGAGCATATAGAAAATACCATGGAAGTGGTAGCGCTGCAGCCTCAACACCGTCACCCACAAGGGTTCGTGGTAGAAATTGTGCCCAGCGAGGTTTCCATTCAACTTGAGCTGCGAGCTTCTGCACGGAGTCTTCCAAGACGCGCGTGTTCTCCGAAATCTTCGCGGACGTCCGCGCAAGGTTTCCTCTGCAGAGTCCGCGGCAGGCTTCGGGGCAGACCGAGATAGACGGAAAACCCGTCAATGCCTTAGATTCCGCGGGCCTTTTACAAACGAGGCCTGCGCATGGTTGCCTGCTTCAAAGTCAAGCTTTTCTAGGCGCACGGGTCTGCTTTGTCGGACCTGCGGATGCATTTCCATAGTTTGCCAGCGTGCTGAAGTTTAGTCTAGCATGCAGCCGGGCTGGTCAGCTGAAAGATTCACCTGTCCAAAGTGTTGCGGCATGCTGTGTCTCATGCTTTGTTTCGGCCCAGCTTTGAAAAGAAACGAGTGTCACAGCGTGCCGCTCTGACACACGCTTGGCAAGAGAACGGGCAACAATCCACACCTTTGCCGTGAGCTGCATGCAGGCCCCTCGAGGGGAGTTGCAGGATGGAGCTCCTCAAGTTTGATCATCCGCAGGGCCAGGAGTCTTCGTGATCTTTGCAAGTTGCAACAGTTGCAAAAACTCAGATAGCGGCCAAGGGGCGTAGCTACACGCAGGATGTCTTCTGGCACTCCAGTGCACACATCCTGGGCGATCACCTCGGAGCCGAGCACGCACTTGATGCGCTTGCAATTTCGAGTTTGTTTGTGCGCTGCCCGTGTTCCTGTAGGATCTGTAGAATCAATGCCGTTCACATCCATTCACACTCCTGGAACGTGGCGCTGTGCAAGCCCAATGCCCCACCCCCCGTTTTTTGGCACCGACAGCTAGAGAATTCGCAGCCGCTCATGGTGGCTCCCTAAAGGGGAGATCCCGTGGGCGGCCCTTGTAGCTCGCCAGATCTTGCAGGAATGCAGCTCCTTCGGCTGAGTGCCGTATGCAGCAAGCCAGCAAGCGAACCCTTTACTGTTTGGATATCCAGAAGTCCTGGGAACGTCCGTCAAGCAGCCTCCCTTCGCGCCATGGCCTTGCGGGGCCACTCGCCACAGGCAACGCTCATTCCCCTCAACGGCTCAGAGCTCAGCGAGTTTGGCTTACGGCTTGTAACTCAACATGCTACCTCCGCCGCATCGCGGCGTCGCACCGAGGCTATGACCCCTACCGGCTGTATTATGACATCCCCGTGTCAGGCAGCAGCTGGGCTCGCTGCGTGCATTCGGAAGAAGACTCTAGGACCTCGTTTCATGAAGTTATTGACCAAAAATATCTGTAGGAGCTGTAGGGAGTAGGGCCAGGGCATACCATGCTAGATGTTCTCTGAAAACTAACAAAACCCGACAGCTGGCATTCATTTTCTTGAAGCATGCCGTGGTGCTCGCCGCGTCACTGCGTAAATCCACATAAATGGCACGGTACTAGTACCGTACACAAACCTGCACACATCCGCATGAGCAGCCTGATGGAAAGAACGAAACTCGGATTGCTGTAGGTTGCCGAGAAGATTAAGATTTGACCTCATACGCGTTTCTCGGGCCCATCATCAGTGAGTAGCTCTGCAACCTGACAATCGCAAATGAAACGAGCTTTTGCCACGAAGAGGTGGAGGAACCACACTTCGATCGCTTTTGTATCCCAATGTCACCTCCTGCAGCGCTGTCGCATGGGAAGAATTTGATTTGGAATGATGAACAGTGCTCTGCAAAGTTCAACAGAGAGAGCAGGAACATTCAAGTGCACCCCACAGATAAGCAGAAGCACAACGGTTCGTAGGTTCATTTGTCAGCCAGCAGCTGAATCTCCACGGAATGCTGTTGCAAAGGTTTTTTTTTCAGGCTCGCGTTGGACAGTGTGAAGTGAAACAAGACGCACGTGAGTGAATTTCTTTAGTCATTCTGCACGCCAGACTCCACACCGCACACTGCTGTCGACTGCTGTGCCCTGCCGTGCCCTGACCTACCAGGGGGCTGGCGCGAGCTTCGCGAGCCAGTCAGCGGCCGGAGAACCCTGGCGCCATGGCATGGCCATGACCTGTCTCAAGCCCATACGTATGTGTCTGAAAGCTCTACTGCTGGGATCTAAACCGCGCACGATGCCCTGAGGATATTGGAACCACGTGACCATGAGCCTGACCAGCTGGAGCCTGGTGGATACTTGCCTCCACATGAGCTTTTAAAGATGCATCTGCAACATGGAGATGGGACCATTGGCAGTGTCTGCCAGTGGCTGCCGGCAGCAGCGTGTCGCCGTAGTGTGTGATGTCTCCTTGTCAATGTGACCCACGGAGGAAGTTCTGCGCCTCAATGCCTTAGAGGAGTTTCTTCTGCTGGGTTGGTGTCCAAGATCCCGCTTATGTGCAAATCATGTGTGTGTCGATTTAACATTTCTGGCAAACACCAGACCGGAATACCGAGGCGAGTGGACGTTGTTCACAGTGGTCCCTGAAAAGCTCGAGGAGCCTTAGGAAGTTTGCTTCCAGCCGTGGAACCTGCGGGACGAAAGCGGTTAGCGACCGAGTCGGTTGACGTTAGTAAGCTGGGAAAGTTGGCAGCAGTTGGCATGTAGCATGCGATTCCAGCGCCGGGTTGACATTTTGTTCTTGGCACATTGTTGCCCTTAAGCCTGGCTATTCTCACGACGCCCTTGCGGGTCGGGCAAGGGCCGGCACAGTTTCGGCAAAGTCTTTTCGTGGTGTCTCGGCACCTTCAGATTGAAGGAGTACGAGGACCCTGGCTACAAGTACAATATTTATGGCAGCGTGGACCTCACGGGCCAGCCGACGCCGAGTTGCACGAGCTGCCCAGTAGCCCTGATTCGGAAGGCTTTGTGCAATATGGCGCAGAATATCAAAAGATGCTCTGAGGATTGAGGTGCTCCGGCCGGGAGCTGTCGTGACGGCTGTCGGCATGCCAAAGCCAGGCATCCAAAGAGAGTGGGCTCTGTAAAAGAACCTAAAGGCGAAAGATTTCCTGAATGCTCAGAGGACATAGCCTGGCTCGCACAAGTGAACATTGCCTACAAGCTGGTGTTGCTGATGTTCTGCTGGGGCAGGGATTGTGGAGCTCCTCCTCCCGGATGCTGACAGGGTGGTAAAGCTAGGCTTCGCCAAGTACCGCTGGCCTCCGCAGGCACAGCATGCGAAACATGTGTAGTGAGCAGTGCGTGTACTGTTCACGCACTTGAGTCACTAGGTCACTAGGCCCCATGACAGCAAGGACGGGAGCCGATATTTACAGCGGCTTCCTGCCCGGATGCGTACGGACGATGTCACTGGGATGAATGCTGTGGTCACCCCCGTTTGGCTCCTTGGCCCAGCAACGAACGCCTCCTTGTCCTACTGTAGGGATACATGCAGTGATCGTTTTGCTCTCTTCCTTTTCTCTAAGCTGGGCCGCCTTTTTCTTCTAAATCCGCACCAAGCTCAAAATGCACACACAAAGGTCGCAAACCCCCAAGCAATCACTGCCGACACCCTGAACGACTAAACGAATCTCAAACAAACCACCATAAGCTATGGACCGTGGACATCCGTAAGCCCCTTTAAGCAGACCCCGAAAAGAGCCAATATGGTGAACATGCCTAGGGAAGCCAGGCGACTTCATCTTAGGCAATGCTTACATTCAGGAATCAATCAGTTCTCAATCCTTCCCCCAAACCACGCCCGCCAGTGTGCACGCCTCACATGTCAACATCGGTCGTCTGTGCAGCATCAAACATGGCTTCTTATTCTGTAATTATACCAGAATAGCCCAAAACACTTCCCAGAAAAATAGCAATTAAAAAAGGCGCAGATGCAATAGTAGGAGAGTTTTCGGCGGAAGCCATGAGACCAAGTTGAGTGTTCTGTTGTCGTTGACGTTGAGAGTGCCTTCGTAGATTCTGTTTGGCGACGATGTTGCTTGCTCAATCTCCATGTAATGACTTGCATGTTGCCAAGGATCGTCCTTGAGCCTCTTCCGGGAGCCGAGGGTCCCCAGGCGACCGAGCCAAGTTGACAGTGCTCTCTTCAACACGCGCACGCAAATCGGGCGTTTCCAACTAGGGCAATTTTCAGCATCCGCGTTCCATACCCGACATGCAGGAGGGTGACGCCCTCCTTGTCACGGAGGCACCACGGCATCAGGGCTTGTGACCAGTGTGAAGGTTGATGAGAGCATCCAAGGGCCGAGACCCTCGCAGCGAGCCACTGGGATGGCTGTGGCTCGGCACCGTTTGCGTTTCTGCTCAACCCTAAACCCTAAACCCTAAACCCCAAACCCTAAACCCTAAACCCTAAACCCTAAACCCTAAACCCTAAACCCTAAACCCTAAACCCTGAACCCTGAACCCTGAACCCAAAACCCTGTTCTTTTTTTGGTTTTCATGGGCGTCCTGCCGAAGTTCTACTGGCCAAGGAAGGTGGGCACTTCGATCGGCCTCAATCTGATTGAGGGCACGAGAGCCCTTGTAGGTTGGATCCACGAGGACTGGTCACCGTTAAAGTGCCCATGCAATGAACTTTATATGTTGAACGAGAAAGCGAGCTGAGTAGAGGCAAATGCCAACTCTGAGGAGCAGAGTTGTGCCGCCACGCAGTGAGCGCAGTTTCTGTGGCATAGTGTCGCCTGGAGGACGAGGAGGATCTGGTGGATGGGTGGATCTCATTCGTGCGACTGGATGGGTCGGCAACCCTGCGTCGCGTGCTGGAGGAGCGGGCGGAGCGGGCTGATGCGCAGGGGGCCCCATGCGGCCCCGCTGGGTGCCGCGAGCTGATGTTGGCAAGCACTTGTTGCGACTCGTTGTGACGCCATGGTGTGTGATGCGCCCCGAGAGAGGAGACCACGAACCAGAAGACGCAGCGTGAACTGCAGGAGCACCTCAAGGCCTTTTGAGATTCGTTGCCTTTGAAGGTTTCTGTGCCATGGTCGTGAGTGGTGATGACGCAGGAACTGGAAGCAGCCGGCATGTCGACTCATGAGGCTTGACACCGAATTTCTCACTGATCGTTCTCATCCTTCCTTCAATTCCTTCCCCTGGCAGGCGATGCAGGCAATTGAGAAGCTCACTGATGAGATAGCCTGCGATTCCAGGATATGTCGGGTAACAGGATAACATAGGAGAATTCTTCCAGGCGAGCCCATTTTTGAACTGCCTCAGGAGTGATTCCAAGGCGTCAAGGCCGGGTGTAGCAGTCGCAGGCAAATGCATCAGCCAAATCATATCCTGTCCGCCTCTCAGGGCCGGCTCGAAGCTTCCCTCAGCCCCCTCGCGGCCTGGAGCTCGGCTTGTCCTCAGCTCTTCAATCAATAGCTAGGCTTCACATGCTCAGATCATTGACGCTGTTGAATGCTGTTGTGTCTACCTAGGTCGGCCTCCAAGCTCAGTGTGAGGAGCCTGCACCAAGCAATTCGCTTTGGACGCTGCTGTCGGTGTGCGTGTGCGTGTGCGTATGCGTGTGCGTGTGCGTGTGCGTGTGCGTGTGCGTGTGCGTGTGCGTGTGCGTGTGGGTGTGGGTGTGGGTGTGGGTGTGGGTGTGGGTGTGGGTGTGGGTGTGTGTGTGTGTGTGGGGCAGCTCATGGCAAGAAATCTATGGGAGGAGCGGATCTAAACCCCACTCGAGGACAGGCTAGTGGTAGCCATATTGCATGTGTATCTCTGCAGAAAGAGTCTTTGGA